CCTGACGCCGCCGGCGTGAAAACGGCTCCGAGCAGTAGCGGGGAATCGTGGCGCAGCCCCGCCGTGAGCACGGGATGCAGCCGAGGCGCGTGGAAAGGCCCCGTGCATGGGCGCAGCACCGTGTGCCAACATGCATGCACACAGAGGCACAAATATGTATGCATATGCACACGTGTGTGCATACACATACACAACACACACAGGCACAGGCACTTGCATATGCACGCACGCACGTGTATGTACACGCATATACATGTACACGTGCATACACGCACGCACACGTGTGCACAGAGCAATACCCACACATCGTGCACACTGAGAAGCTGGCAGCGGGCACACCCCAACACAGCCACAGCCACACTATCACACCCAGATGCACGTGGCAACATGGATGCATGCAAACACATGCAGCCACATCCCTGCCAGCCGCAGACACGCAGCTACCACACAGACCATATGTGTGTGCACATGGGTATCCACACACACAGCAGCACTTGTGCATTGGGATTTCATGCACACATACTTACACAGAGATGCATGTATGCGTGCACACACGCACACACAGCAGCAGGCACCCACATGCAGTGACACTCGTGCCCTACTATGTCACATACACACACACCCCTATACACAACCACACCGTGACACTCATGCACTGGGATTTTTGCACATGCAGCAGGCACCCACACACAGTGACACTCATGCCCTGCTATATCATATACAAACACACCCATATGCATATACACGGGCACACGCAGACACTTATGCCCTGCTATATCACGCACACACACACACACCCTATACATACAGTCACATGCAGTGACACATACACTGGGATTTTGACACTCATGCCCTGCTCTATCATAAACACACACACACCTATACACACCAGGACATGCAGTGACACTCATGCCCTGCTATATCACACCCCCCCGTACACACAGTCACATGCAGTGACACTAATGCACTTGGATTTTTGCACACACAGCAAGCACCCACATGCAGTGGCACTCATGCCCTGCTATATCACACACACACACACACACAAATGCAGCAACACTCATGCCCTGGGATTTTGCACACACAAATGCAAACGCATACACACACAGCTCCCAGAACGCAAGCGTGACACGAACCCCAGACGGTCGCAGACCGACACGGTTCCCCCGACACCGCATGACTGCAGCCTGGGCCCGAACCCCCCGGCCCGACTCGGGCCGGTTCCTCCTTCAGCCCCGACTGCAACCCAGCAGGGCTCTGCTCCCCGGGCTGGGCACGGGTTGCACCGCCCTGGTTCTTACGCCCCTGCTTGCACGCACCCACTGCCCCAGACAATGCCTCTCGCTGTCTCTCCGCATCCCCTCCGAGGCCATCTGGGACCCTGCCAGGCCGTGCGGGCAGCTGCCAGGCCTCGCCCCGCCAGTCCGAGATTCCTCCCCGGGGCAGGGCAGGCGCAGGCCTCTGGTCTGCACTGAGTCATGGGCATAGCCACGGGCACCGACCCCGGCCCCCGATGTGCATTGGCAGTGCCCGGCTCCCCCAAGCCCTCCGCGCACAGCTAGGGATGGAGCTGGCACTGCTGAGCCCCCACCCCATGCCCAAGCAAAACTTAGAGGATCCCGGCAGGACCCCACTTTGTCCCGTCCATGCCCAGCTCACCCCTTGCAAAAACCGGCGGGTAGCAGGTGGCAAAAGGAAAGCCCGATGCCCACCCAGAATAGGCACCATCCCCAGTAGTCGCCTCCCAATGCGAGCCCCCGAGCTCACCCTGAGCTCAGACAGCCCGGGACGGGGGAGCATCCCTGGACCAGCCGGAGGCCCCCAAAGCCCCGCACTTACCGCCCGGCAGAGAAGGGCCGATCCCGGCCTCGAGGTGTCGAGGAGCCCCGGGGCTGGGGCTGCCCGGGCGCCGGACGGAGGAAGCGAGCGGGTCCGGCGGCTGTCTGTAATCTCAGCCAGCTGGATCCCGACGGGGGTCACTTATCATGGTGCAGCTATGCGCACGGCATGACATCACGGGGGCTGGGAGCCGGCCGCAGCCGCTCCGGCCCGGGAGGGACGGGGGGAGGAGACGGGGCTGGGCAAGGCGCGCACACTCAGGCTATTTTTCCATCCTCCTGCTCCTCTCTCCCTCCCAGCTGTTTTCCTGCAGGTTCGGACGAAGCCCGCGGCCGCTTTAGGGGAGGATTTAGGAGACACGGGTGCAAACAGACACGGCGTCTGTGCCCGCCGGCTCTCGCACTCGCGCCCTCTGCAACCGGGCAGTACGGCAATGCCCAGGGCGATGATCTGGGCCCATCTCTGCCCCTGCCCCGGCGGGTCACCTTCACCACCCACGGCCTCGAGCCCGGTCTCTGCTCCCGTCGAGAGCAGCTCCCAGCCCAAACCCGGAGAGGCGCCAGCTGTGTGCTCCCACAGGCTTGACAGCAAGGATGGGGTCTCATTTTGGGGGTCATCAAACCCTCCCCCATCTGATCTACCCCAAGCCTGGAGCCTCCCGGGGAAAGGCACACATCAAACCGGGGGCTCGTTTCAGAAACCGCCCCGTTTCAGGCTCCCCAGGCTGGGAGATCGCAGGCTGCAGCTGGCCAGATGTTCCCCCCGCCCCCCTTCCCCGGGCTGCGGTTTCAAGGAAACTCTGAGAACAAAAAGCAAGAGGGCTGGGAAGGGGCCGGGCCTTTCCCACCTTCGCTGCCAGCCGCAGAGACGGGGCCCCACGCGAGGGGAGACCCGGGGTGCTCTCGGGCTCGAAGCCCAGCTCCCCCCTGCAAACACGGGGCACGTAGGGGTGCAGCGGCTGGCACAGACGGCTTGGAAAGGGCAGCGTCTTGCCCAAATCCACCCATCCAGCTCCCTCCTCCTAGACCACTGTAGCCGGGGGGGCTGGCAAGCCCCAATCCCCTTCCCGGGAGCCCCCCGTCCCGGCCAGCCTGGATTCCTTTGTCTTTAGGCAACCCCCCCATCACAACGGGGGGAGCAGGCAGGAGCTGGCGGTGCTGACGCCCCAAGCGCCAGGCTGATGGGAGTTGCAGATGGGGCCAGCGATGGCTTTAGCAGCCCCTGCCAATGTTTCCAGACAGGGGGAGAGACGCCTGCAATCCTCCCCCGCACGCTGGGCACGAGCCCCCAACAGCTCTGGCGCAGCCCCCCAGGCCCCGGCTGTAGCTCCTGCTGCCATCGAGGCCGTCACGCCACACAAGACAGCCCCGGCAAGGCCGTGGGGCAGGCAGACCCCCCCACAGCTCCGGCACACGGAGCTCAGCGTGCAACGCGTCCCCGCAGGCGGCTGATTCTGGGGTGGAACAAGGTGGGTTGATGAGTCCCAGCCCGAGGCCGGATCCACCCCACCCAAACCCAACCAGACAAACCCCGTGTGCAACCTCGGAGCTGCACGACACCGTCGCCCCGACACAGCCCTGGGCATCGCCCCTGTCCCTGGGAAAGCAGGGGTGCCATGGCTGTCAAAATGCACACCCCCTACACACGCTCAAACACACACATGCACGCATGCAGGCACACACACACACACATATATATGCATGTGCCTACCTGCGCGCATCCGCATGTGTGCACACACATATGCACGCACTCACACACAGGAACGGGGCTCCGTGTGACGCCAGGCGCTGCACGCGCAGGAGCAAGCTCTGTCCCAAACTGCTTCCAAGCTGGGCAGGGGGGAGAAGGGTTATTACCCCAGGGGAGGAAAAGTGGGGGGGGTTAAGGGATAGACCCAGGGTCATGTAAGGAAGACAGTGGCAGAGCCAGGACCCACTCCTAGCTCTCCCAGTCCCAGCCAGTGCCTCGGGCTCTGGGGAGGAGGGGAGCCACCCCCCAAGAGGTGCCCCGTGCTGGAGGCCCCTTCCCACGTCAGGCTATTTCCAAAGCAGCCCCGGGATAAATACGGGGTCTTACGGAGAGCCCAGAAATACCCGCTCGATGCCAGGGTTATTTCCACCCACCTCTGTAATGCATCCTGGGTTTATTTTCAGGGAAGCTCAAGCATCGTGAGCTCTCAGCGGGGGGCCGGGGGAGGCCAGGGTGAGCGTACGGGGTGGGGGGGGATGATGGGGAAGTGGATGAGGTGCCTGTGGGAGGGTGGAGGCATATGAGGACAGACAGCCAAAATCCTGAAGCCGCGGGGCTGGAAGGGTCACATCCAGTCCAAGCCCTGCCTGAGGCAGGATCGGCCCTGTCCAAACCCGCCCAGACAAACCCTGTGTGTAAACTCCTAGTAAAACAACCGTCAGCCCTGACACAGCCCACACGTCGCCCCAGCCCTGCCCCGGGGAAAACCAGGGGCCGCGACCACCAACGTCCTGCTGCTACGAAAGGTTTGTACACGCTTGAGAGATCCCAGGTACGGTCGTGCCCTGCTACAGAGGAAGGCAAACCCCCCCCCCCCCACCATACCAATCTGCCAAAATACCCCAACCAGTCTGACCCCGAGCTGGGGGGCAAGGCGCTGCAGCCAGGACCCTCTGGCATGAAATCCAGCAGGAGCATTGGCACAGCCCCAGCACCCAGCACCTCTGGGGGGGTTCAACCCCCAACACCTGGAGCAGCAATGGGGGGGGGAGCCAGCGCAGCCCCAGCCTAGGACACCCCCCAGCAGAGCATGGGCATCACTGCACCGCGACCCTCCCACCCAGCCTCTCCATGGACCCCATGCTGCAGAGTCCCCCCAGTCTGGGGGGGGTAGAGAGAGAGAGATAGAAGAGGTATATGGGGATGGACGGATGGATGGAAAAGACAGACAGGCAGAGAGATAGGACATATGAAAGTGGATGGATGGACACGAGGGGGCTGGAGGGATGAATAGATAGACAGACAGACAGACAAACAGATAAAGGAGGTATACGGGGATGGATAGATGGATGGAAATAAACAGACAAGAGCAGCAATAGGACACATAAAAGTGGATGGATGGATGGATGGATGGATGGATGGATGGAGGGGCTGGAGGGATAGACAGACAGACAAAGGGAGATGGATGGAGGGAGGGAGACAGGAGGTGCACAGGGAGGGAGGGAGGGAGAGAGGGAGGAGGTGTACGGGGATGGATGGATGGACGGATGGGTGGGTGGAGGAGGTGTATAGGGAGGGAGGAGGTGTATGGGGATGGAAGGATTTGCCCCTGCCCCCCCCTGCAGCCCGGACCCCCCCCAAGCCGGTCGCATCTCGCTCATGCTCCCCTCCCCCCCACACACAGCCTTTTCCTTCCCTGATGATTTCCGGCTCTGCCGCAGCATCCCAGCCCTTCCAGCACCAGCCCCAGGTCGAACCCGCCTGGCTCCGCTTTACATCGCGACCCCGCCAGGTCCAGCCCGCGAGGGGATGACGTGCAGCCCCAGGCTCCTGCCCAGAGCAGCGCCCGGGGCGGGGGGGCTCCCGGCACCGACAACCCCGCCAAGCTGCGGTCCCAGCCCTGCTCCAGCCAGACAGCACTGGGGCAGCCGGGCCGGGCCGCGCGCACGGAGCTGTCTGCAGCTTCCCGGGCGGGTTATTTCACATCAGGCTCTTGCAGAGACGCAGCCTGGAAAACCGGAAAGGACCAGGACGGGCGTTTCTCTGCAGCCACAGGAGCAATGGCCTCAAGCTGCAGCAGGGGAAACTGAGGCAGGAGAGGAAGAAAGGCTCCCTAACTCTGAGAGTGGGTCAAGCCTCGGACCAGACTGCCCAGAGAGGTTGTGGACTCTCCATCCCTGGAAATTATCAAGAACAGGTGGGGCCAACGCTTGACCGAGGTGGTTTAGGATCCTGCCTGAGCTAGATACGGCCTCGCGAGGTCCCCTCCAGCTCGACTTCCCTCCGGTTCTGTGATTTCACCATAAAGCAGCTCCCAGCAAAGCCCGGTCCCAAAATACCTTCAATCGGAGACTTGAGACTGAAGCCACTATTTGGGCAGCACAATTCAGCCGTGGGGGGAGCCTGACCTGCAGCCCCCCGACCTCCCAAGGGGCTTCCAAAATTGCCCCTTACCCAATATGTCCTCAGCTGCTGCCAACAAGCTGGGCCCCCCAGCTCCTGCCCATGCCGTCCCCCCCGGCGGGCACCCGATACGCCCGG